ATTTGTAGGTGACCAAATACTTATTTTCCACCATTATTTGCAAAAAAATTCTTTAAAAATCAGACAAAATGATTTTCTCAAATTTTTTTTTCACATTTTGTCTCTCATAGTTGAGGTCTACCTATGATGTCAATTACAGGCCTCTCTCATCTTTTTAAGTGGGAGAACTTGCACAATTGGTGACTGACTAAATACTTATTTTCCCCACTGTATCTCAGCTTAAGTATATTGGTTATTGTTAAGTCGATTAGCAAAGGCTTTAAGAAATGACTGAACTGAGAATTGATTTTAAATCAAATCAAATCACTTTGAAACCTGTGACACCTTCAGATTCACAAACCAAAAATAAATATATTAAAATAAGTAACAGAAGCCATTTTCCAAATATTTTAGGAACAACGAGTTCTGTACCTCCCAAATTACCAACGGATGTCTTAATCCCATAATGCTCACTTCGCCCCTCCAGGAAAAGACACCACATGTGGCTGTTGTTTATTTCAGGCACTCTGTCTGCTGCTATAAGTGCAAATGACTAAGTATACAAATGCTGGCACAGCTTTTGAATTAGTTAACCATTTTTAGCATCAAAATAAGGAGGGTGCAGAGCCAAACTGACAGATAAACAACAGTGCAGCTATGCAAGCTGGTGCAGCTCTCCCAGAAATCTCAAATGGAGCTGAAATTGGACACCATTTTCCCAGGCACTCTCACCCCTTCCTGTCTAATGATAGCTAGCAGGGGGAGGAAGGAAGTGGCAGTAGACATTAGGGGGCCAAATAGGCCTACTTTAATGTACACCGTCTGATGCCAAGCCAAGTCCATTCCCATCAGTAGCTGTGTTCAACCTCCAGGTCTTCAGAAAACTGCAGTACTCACGAACAGGAAAATTACCTTGATTTTGACAGCTTCTCCTAAACAATAGAAAGTCAGCTCCACTTCCCAAAGGTATACAAAACAAAAGATAACAGATAAAAGTGTCTAATTCAGAAAGTCACAAAGGGAATTAACTTTTTTCTTTGTGTTTACAAGTTGTCCCACAAACATCAATTTCTACTCGCTATCTAAAAGCTCTGGGGTCATGTGTGACGGCGAGTCCTGCAGTCTTAAATTACACCACAACATCAACTGTCCTGAGTCGGAGTAAGATAAATTATGGTTATAAAGAAAAAAAGACAACAACACTTAAAAGCACCGATCAAACAAGATCCCCCAGGTAAAAGCAGGGCAGAGGCCCTGTGAAAAGAAAATACACATAAATGTCAACACAGTGTATGAAAAGCACGCTATCAACCTTTTATTACCCATCAGCGGAACATTTCAAATGGTTTATAAATCTGTTGAAGCAAAAGAAACGTATATCAAAAAACATGAGTAAAAATAGGTACGAGACCAGAAACGGTCATGGAATTGTGGAAAAATACATCGAATTTTCATGACTGCAATGGTTTGAAATTGCATCAAATATTATTAAAGTAACTCATCTTGAAAATCTGTTTGTTTTAGTTTGTTTTATAAGAGATGGTGAGAGAAGCACTAGTGAGGAAACTTGTTAATGTCTTACCTGCAGTAGATAGCAGTCAGCACAATTTCAGTGCAGAATAAAGAAAATCTAATAAATGGTCTGAATGAGGCCAACAGAAGAGGAGTTGTTTGTCTTTTTTAGGCAAGAGACATCAAAGCAAATCAAGCAATATTTTATTTTCTGCTTTTTTTTCTCAATTCAAAATTAAAAAGAATTTGTTCTGAAATGAAAAATGCTTCCTGGATGGTTCATCGAACATTATCAACTACAGAAAAAAAAAACAACCTCCAATTGCGTTGTTTTTTGAAACTTTTTTGAATTTGCCAAGATCTGGATTATCGAGAATTTACACTAGTTTTAATATGGTGATTGGATCTACAATATGGTACATTTCTCAAAATGCTACTTTAAAAATACTGTACCACTATTTTTTCATACTGTTTGATGCAAAATCAGATAAACTTTTCCTGTTTTAGGCTAATTAGAATTACCAACATTGTTTATCTTTGCTACATGCCAGAATAATGAGAGAATTTTATAAGGCAATTTTTATTACTTTCTTCCAAGTCAAAAGTTTAAATCCACTTAGATAGTATTTGGTATCATTGGCCTTAAAGTGCATGACTTGGGCCAAACATTTTGGATCTCCTTCCACCAGCTTCTCACAATAACTGGCAGGAAATTTGTCCCATTGCTCCTGACAGAACTGGTCTAACTGAGCCATGTTTGCAGGCCACCTTGCTCTGAGGCATTTTCAGCTTTTCCTATAAATCTTCGATAGGATTGAGATCAGGGCTTTGTGATCGCCACTCCAAAACATTGACTTTGTTCTCCTTGAACCACTTTGTAACCAGTTTGGCAGTATGCTTCAGGTCACTGTCCATTTGGAAGATCCATTGGCACCTAAGCTTGAGATGTTGCGTCAGTATTTCCACATAACGTTCTTTCCTCACAATGGGCCTCATGCAAGAACCGTTCGTACGCACAGATTTGTTCTTAAGTTGCGCGTACGAGTGATTTAAGAGAATTTGTGGCATTCACCAATGTTTTCGTATTCTAAGATTTT